ATCTGTTTCTTTGACCATATGCCCGTTCCACTCACTCTTTTTCCCGCGTCGGGTTGGTGTGCCCGGTGTTCAGGATGAGCAGAAACCACCAGCTGAAATGGAAGAGCAACGGGCTGCAGGCTACCACGAGGAGCAAGGGAGCACCACGGAGGTAAAAGATGATCCCCCCCCTCTCTCTCTCTCTCTCTCTCTCTCTCTCTCTCTCTGTCTCCCATTCTCTCTCTCTCTATCTATATATCTATGTATCTCTATATCTCTCTTTCAATTTATTAATCTTCACTTCATTGTTTTTTTCTGTTAATTCTCTACATATGTTTTTAAATGTTTCTGCTCTGATCATATGCCCGTTCCACTGACTTTTTTTCCCCACGTTGGGTTGGTGTGCTCGGTGTGCAGGATGAGCAGAAACCACCAGCTGAAATGGAAGAGCAACGGGCTGCAGGCTTCCACGAGGAGGAAGGGAGCACCACGGAGGTAAGAGATGATTACCTCCCCCCCTCCTCTCTCTCTCTTTCTCACTCTCTCAATGTATTTATCTTCACTTTATTAGTTTTTCTGTTAATTTTCCGCATGTACGTTTTTTAAATCTGTTTCTTCTCTGATCATATGCCCGTTCCACTCACTCTTTTTCCCACGTCGGGTTGGTGCGCCCGGTGTGCAGGATGAGCAGAAACCACCAGCTGAAATGGAAGTGCAACGGGGTGCAGGATACCACGAGGAGCAAGGGAGCACCACGGAGGTAAAAGATTATCCCCCCTTCTCTCTCTCAGTTTATTTATCTTCACTTTATTGTTTTATTTTCTGTTAATTCTCTACATATTTGTTATTAAATCTGTTTCTTTGATCATATGCCCGTTCCACTCACTCTTTTTCCCACGTCGGGTTGGTGCGCCCGGTGTGCAGGATGAGCAGAAACCACCAGCTGAAATGGAAGTGCAACGGGCTGCAGGCTACCACGAGGAGCAAGGGAGCACCACGGAGGTAAAAGATTATCCCCCCCTCTCTCTCTCAGTTTATTTATCTTCCCTTTATTGTTTTATTTTCTGTTAATTCTCTACATATTTGTTTTTAAATCTGTTTATTTGATCATATGCCCGTTCCACTCACTCTTTTTCCCACTTCGGGTTTGTGCGCCCGGTGTGCAGGATGAGCAGAAACCACCAGCTGAAATGGAAGAGCAACGGGCTGCAGGCTACCACGAGGAGCAAGGGAGCACCACGGAGGTAAAAGATGATCCCCCCCCTCTCTCTCTCTCTCTCTAGTTATTATCTTCTTTTATTTGTTTTTTTTCTGTTAATTTTCTACATATGTTTTTAAATCTGTTTCTGCTCTGATCATATGCCCGTTCCACTGACTTTTTTTTCCCACGTCAGGTTGGTGCGCCCTTTGTGCAGGATGAGCAGAAACCACCAGCTGAAATGGAAGAGCAACGGGCTGCAGGCTTCCACGAGGAGCAAGGGAGCACCACGGAGGTAAAAGATTATCCCCCCTCCCCTCTCTCTCTCTCTCTCAGTTTATTTATCTTCACTTTATTGTTTTATTTTCTGTTAATATTCTACATATTTGTTTTTAAATCTTGTTCTTCTCTGATCATATGCCCGTTCCACTCACTCTTTTTTCCCACTTCGGGTTTGTGCGCCCTTTGTGCAGGATGAGCAGAAACCACCAGCTGAAATGGAAGTGCAACGGGCTGCAGGCTTCCACGAGGAGCAAGAGAGCACCACGAAGGTAAAAGATGAGTACCTCTCTCTCTCTCTCTCTCTCTCTCTCTCTCTCTCTCTCTCTCTCTCTCTCTCTCTCTCTCTCTCTCTCTCTCTCTCTCTCTCTCTCTCTCTCTCTCAATTTATTTATCTTCACTTTATTGTTTTTTCTGTTAATTTTCCACATGTATGTTTTTAAATCTTGTTCTTCTCTGATCATATGCTCGTTCCACTCACTTTTTTTCCGACGTGAGCAGGATGAGCAGAAACCACCAGCTGAAATGGAAGAGCAACGGGCTGCAGGCTTCCACGAGGAGCAAGAGAGCACCACGGAGGTGAAAGATGACTCCCGCCCTGCTGATGAGACCAAGAGCGAGGCCAGCGGCAGCGACCAATAGATTGATTTATTAGCTGGAAGTAAAGGAAACACACACTTTTTCTCTCTCTGTCGGTCTTTCCTTTTCTCTGACTCTCTATCTATTTCTTTTTTTTCTCATTCACTCCTATCCCCTTCTCGCTCTTACTCACACATACCCACACGGACAAACACATTTGTTTAGATGCTTTTTCTGACATTATATAACATTCAGTTGTTTGCTTTGTTCACACTTTGATATTTATGCTGACATATAGGATTTTTACACCAAGGCATTGATACCAGGAGTACATATATATATTGAGTATTCAGTGTGGCCTTGCTTTCTTATTTATGATGACATATATGAGTTTACTACCAAGGCATTAATTGTTTGGTCAACTTGCACGTTGAACTATTATAGAAAGATAAAGGACTATAATTGCGTGAACATTATTCTTCCCAATTATATTATTATATACACCGTGATTTTTTTTATGAAGTATGAAATTGACAAATGCAGTAATATTGATTATAAAAAATAAATGGAAAAGGTATTATGAAATTCTCTCTAAAACGAGTTCGAAGCTTATAATATATACGTTATAAATATGTCGTTTTATTTTCAATGACTATACTTTTAACCCTTAAGAATTACTTTAAACTGTGTTACACAACAGGCGCCTTGTTATCTATTTAGTTTTCTTTTTAAGGGAAGCATTGTTTCATTGTTTACTTGAAATTACTCATTATATAATTTCATTAGATTTTCTTTACAGTTGATCATTTGAAATAAAACAGTATTTTTATACACAGATATCGTATTATGCATCAATCTAATGTAATTATAAACTCATGAAAACTCATTACAACTCATAAAAGGTGTCCTGTTCCGTACTTTGCACTCTTATCCTCACTTATCGTTTGGAAATTAATACATGTCGGGTTTCCCGTGGAGCAGTACTTCATATATATTAGTGAAGAGTAAAGTAACGTTCTTTTATTAAACAAAAAGAATGCTCTGCATTCAAGAGTTGCTTCTCGTTAAGGGGAACCCTTAATTATTTTTGCCCCCCTTGGAATTCCCGTTCTCTGTGTAATGCCGCTGAACACAGAAAACGTCGCAATAGTAGTGCCGCAGTGGTGGTAACGCTGTGACCGGAAGCCTGACAGTTTGTTCCAGGCCGACAGCACGATGACATGTGACTCGCTCACGGTCAAGAAAGGTAAGAGAAAACACCTACCTAATTTCTCAAGCTCGTTTTTCGCATCTTTTCCCATTACACTCTCCATTCACACGACATAAACAGCCCTCCCTTACAACACGTTCTTCCTGCTAACTTCACCCACACACCATATACTCACTACCCACACCAATATATAACCAAGCACTCAACCCCAATAATGCCTCTCATCAGACTCATACCCCCCTGTTCTAGGCCTTCCACTGACTTCCGGAACTTTCACTTACCTCATGATTATCTTCTAACTTCAGCCTTACCCCGGCTTCCCCCCCTCCCTCTCCCTTCATCTCTCTCTTCCTTTCCCCAACCCCCCCCCCTTCATTTATTCCCCCCTCCTGTTTTCCTTCCTCCTTTCTCTTCTCTCTCTCCCCTCTTCCTCTCCCTTCCCTTCCTCTCCTCCCCTCCTCCTTCCTCTCCTCCCCTCCTCTTCCTCTCTTTTCCCCTCCTCTTCCTCTCCTATCCCCTACCTCTCCCCTTCCTTCCCCCTACTCTCCCCCTCCCTCCTCCTCCACTCCTCCCTCCCTTGGACCACCACCTCGCAATAACCGGACCACCCTCCGCCTGCAAACATCAATTCAGAAGCATTTTAAACAAAATAACCCAGCTTCACCAAATCATCCAGTTTTACCAACCAGACATCATAATAGGCATCGAGATATGGATGACTCCTAACGTCAACTCTGCTGAAAATTTCCCCTCTCCCTTTAACATGACAAAACATTTTAACATACGCAAAGACCGCTCGACTGACCCAGGCAGAGGTGGCGTTGTCCTCATCGGCACCAAGTCGGGACTAATCACCAAACTGAGACATGACCTTGAGACAGTCTGTGAAATCGTCTGGGTCCAGCTCCAACTCTACCTGTAAGTCACCCCTCGCTGCTTTCTACAGACCGCCTTCTACTAACACAGAATACTTACAAAGTCTTGAAACATCTCTATCACGCATAGACGCAGACAAAAACATATGGCTCACAGGCGATTTCAACCTTCCTGACATAAACTGGATTGCTCTGTCCCCTATAACCCCCCCCCCCACACACACACACACTGATCTTGCGGCTCCCATCATTCCCCACAGAAACAGACGCCAATTACACGACACTTTCATGGGCATCATAAATACTTACTCTCGCAAACAGTGCTCACTCCAACGCGAACACAAAACATGAACAACATTCTAGACATAACAAACACCAAGGTTATCCCAGGACTAAGTGACCATGACATTGTCCTCGTTGACGCAGACCTCAGACCAACCAGACAAAAACAGAGACGCAGACCAATTTCCCCTTTTCCCTGACTTAGACGCAACACACCATCACCAAGTTTAGACTACTTTTCCACAGATCTCCACGCAGGAGGACAACCTTAAACTCACCATACTCACGTCCATGCACAAACACATACCACTGAAAACACCTGCAAGTAGACATACACTTCCCTGGTTCTCCAGGGACCCACGCAGACAATATCGTAACTCTGACGCGCGCAAACATACAACACTCCAGAAAATTAGACTGCTTTCAAATCTCACCAAAAAACATTTTCCAAGAACACAAAGAAAGCAGAACACGAGCACATTTCCACCTACCTCGCAAACAACCCTAAACACATCTTCAAATTCGTCAAGACACGACACTACGGCGATCACAGCCTTAAAAGATTCCAACAACACCCTGGTAACTGACCCAGATCACTAAACACAGTTACTCAACACACTTCCAATCTGTTTTCACACACGATGATAATACACCCATCATTCCAGACAGACCATATCCCCCAATCCCGCCGCTTGACATCACGCCTAATGGTATACTGAAACTATAGTCCACCTTTGACAATAATAAACCCACAGGACCAGACCAAATCCCTGCCTTGATCCTCAAGTCCTGTGCCCCTGTCCTTGCCCCCATCCTTCAGTCAAACTTCTCCCAATCACTCGCCTCTTTCACACTACCGACTGACTGGCTTTGCGACAGAACTGACCCGACAAATTATCGCCCCATCTCCCTCACATCCACGTCTGCAAAATGTTTGAACACAGTACATAAATACATAATGAATCACATTGATACCCACAACATCCTTACAGACTCACAAAGGTTTTCGGCCCATAAAACTGAAGACGACTGTAGACTCCTTCAGCAAGACAATAGACGCTCTAGAACAGTGGGAAAGATAATGGCAAATGTCTTTCAGGCCAGAAAAATGTAAAATTATCCGCTTCACCAGATCCCACGCACCAATTCACTACACTTACATAACCAGCATTTAACTCTTACAGCATCCTATAAATACCTCGGCATCCACCTAACCAACAACCTTGCCTCCAACGCACACATTGACTTCATCATCAATAAAGCAAACAGAACACCGGGGTTTCTGAGGAGGAACCTACACAACTGTACACCTGACATCAAACACGTAGCTTACAACACACTTGTACGCCCAACACTAGAGTACTATAGGGCTGTATGGGACCCTTGCACTAAGCACAACATTGAGAAGCTCGAGTAGGTCAATACTAGGGCCGCCAGGCTTATTACACAATTACACACGTGAACCTGGTATTACATCTCACATAAAAAAAAAAACATTAACATGGACGCTCGAGACACGAAGACAAGCACACAGACACAATCATGTACAAAATCAAAATATTTGCAAGCAGCACACTCACGCAACACAAGAACTCACACACCAATTTACATCAACCATGACTCTTACACTCATTCTTCCAACGTACCATACGCGACTGGAACAGGCTCCCCCAACATATCATTGAAACAAAACAAACACAACACTACAAGCACCTTCTCAAACACCGTCACTTCCACTTACACCTTAATCCTTACCACTTTCCTCCACAACCACCAATATGCGTGTTATGCGCTCATCAGCTCCCTGCGCATTACCATTGAGATTGAGATTGAATGCGAAGGGCGGGAAGGGTGAGAACATCCTCCTTACAGAACATACAGAACTAATAATCTTTTCCCAGCCTCCTTGGCGGTGTTCGAGATGCAAAGGTGGGCGATTCTTACCTTGAAGATTTTCCCTTGTTTTTTCAGAACTAGTAGGAGAGAGAGAGAGAGAGAAAGAAAGAAAGAAAGAAAGAAAGAGAGAAAGAGAGAAGAGAGAGAGAGAGAGAGAGAAGAAAAAAGAGATATGAGAGAGAGAGAGAGAGAGAGAGATCCTAGTCGGATGAAGCTTTTGTACATCTGCCATATCGCTGCCTTTTCTGACTGCAATTGTCGGTTATTCATTACAAAGGAGTGTTTGTCAGAAAATATTCTTAAGTATATGTAGACAACTGTTAAGGCCAGTTGAGCCACGACGAAAACCAGTAACGAGACAAAACTTAAAGAAGAAGAAGATGAAGAAGAAAGATAGAGAGAGGGGGAAAGAGAGAGAGAGAGAGAGGTCATAGGGAAAATCTCATTTATTAAACAGCATCTGTATTCATTTTCTCTTTCCTTCTTTCTCCCTTTCCATCCTCCCTCTCTCTCCGGGAGATATACGTACATACATACTTAAAGAGAGAACGAGAAAGCACAGTGTAAGAACATAAACATGGGAATCGAGAGCGTGTTAAAGAGAGCTTCGCAAGTCACAGAAAACATAGTGGACTCTATTGCTGTATATGTTCGATTCCGCGAATAACCGAACTGAAATCCAACTAAAAAGAGATGAAGAATGTCTGCGAATTTTATTATTATAAACACATCAGAGTTATGATATCTTATCTACAAGTCCACATGGATGGCCATCGCCTTCGTTATACCGCCCAGGAACAGCAGATAATCCACGTTTCCGTCGCTCAAGCTTCTCTGTCGGTAGTCTTCGACCTGCAAGTACCTGAAGAGGACCAGTAGTACGTCACCCTCGGAGTCATGTACTGAGGTGGCTTAGTCAAGGGAGCGAGCGTGCATGTTAAAGGTAGGGTCTCCTGTATTCCTCCCTTCCAATCTCTGGATTCGCCTCCATGCTGATTCTGAGATGTAAGTAATAATAATAATGTCAATAAAGAAATTGCTATAATATAGCTAATTGTAATGATTATGACGAAAATGATAACGGAAGTGACGATAGAATTTACGCTGCTTTCTGCATGGTGCTAATGTGCCAGTGAGCTGCACGAAAGGACTGACAGCCGAGCTTTCCGCTTTCCGACGACGCCCGACCGGTCAAACTAGGG